TATATCTATATAACCTTTCTAGCTCTCTAGCTCTATCGTTTCTCTATATAAATCTTTATCATCTATCTCCATCATCTGTCTATTCTATCTAATCTTTTATTTGTATCCATCATCTCTCTCTCCCTATAATCTATATCTATCTATCTATCTATCTATCTATCTATCTATCTATCTATCTATCTATCTATCATCTATCTATCTATCTATCTATCTATCTAATCTTTCTGTATCTATCTCTAACATCTATGTCTATCTAGTTATCTATTGCTCTTATCTTTTCTATATCTCTAAGCTATGTCTATCTATCTATCTATCTATCTATCTATCATCTATTCTATCTATCTATCATCTATTCTATCTATCTATCTATCTATCTATCATCTATTCTATTTATCTATCTATCTATCTATCATCTATTCTATCATCTATTCTATCTATCTATCATCTATTCTATCATCTATTCTATCTATCATCTATTCTATCATCTATCTATCTATCTATCTATCATCTATTCTATTTATCTATCTATCTATCTATCTACCATCTATTCTATCATCTATTCTATCTATCTATCTATCTATCTGTCTGTCTGTCTGTCTGTCTGTCTAATCTTTCTGTATCTATCTCTAACATCTATGTCTATCTATCTATCTATCATCTATTCTATCTATCTATCATCTATCTATCTATCTATCTAATCTTTCTGTATCTATCTCTAACATCTATGTCTATCTAGTTATCTATTGCTCTTATCTTTTCTATATCTCTAAGCTATGTCTATCTATCTATCTATCTATCTATCTATCTATCTATCTATCATCTATTCTATCTATCTATCATCTATTCTATCTATCTATCTATCTATCTATCTATCATCTATTCTATTTATCTATCTATCATCTATTCTATCATCTATTCTATCTATCTATCTATCTATCTATCATCTATTCTATCATCTATCTATCTATCTATCATCTATTCTATTTATCTATCTATCTATCTATCTATCTATCTATCTATCTATCATCTATTCTATCATCTATTCTATCTATCTATCTATCTATCTATCTATCTATCTATCTATCTGTCTGTCTGTCTGTCTGTCTGTCTGTCTGTCTGTCTGTCTGTCTAATCTTTCTGTATCTATCTCTAACATCTATGTCTATCTAGTTATCTATCATCTATTCTATCTATCTATCATCTATCTATCTATCTAATCTTTCTGTATCTATCTCTAACATCTATGTCTATCTAGTTATCTATTGCTCTTATCTTTTCTATATCTCTAAGCTATGTCTATCTATCTATCTATCTATCTATCTATCTATCTATCTATCTATCATCTATTCTATCTATCTATCATCTATTCTATCTATCTATCTATCTATCTATCTATCATCTATTCTATTTATCTATCTATCATCTATTCTATCATCTATTCTATCTATCTATCTATCTATCTATCTATCATCTATTCTATCATCTATCTATCTATCTATCTATCATCTATTCTATTTATCTATCTATCTATCTATCATCTATTCTATCATCTATTCTATCTATCTATCTATCTATCTATCTATCTATCTATCTATCTATCTATCTATCTATCTGTCTGTCTGTCTGTCTGTCTGTCTAATCTTTCTGTATCTATCTCTAACATCTATGTCTATCTAGTTATCTATTGCTCTTATCTTTTCTATATCTCTCTCTAAGCTATGTCTATCTATCTATCATCTATCTATCATCTATTCTGTCTATTATCTATTCTATCTATCTATCTATCTATCTAACTATCTATCTATCATCTATTCTATCTATCATCTATTCTATCTATCTATCTATCTGTCTAATCTTTCTGTATCTATCTCTTTAACTTTAACTTTAACTTTAATCACATTTATACCCCGCCCTTCTCCTGGTGGACTCAGGGCGGCTTACAGCCAGTTTAAAACAAAATAGCTAATACAATATACAAAATTTAAAATATGGTTAAAATGAAATATTAATATAGGCTTTTTCTTTTTTTAAAAAAAGTTATTTAAAAACCAAATTTAAAATACCCCTTAGGCCAGTCCTGCCAGCTGAAATAGCCATGTCTTGAGGGCGCGGCGGAAGGAGGGGAGATCCGGAATCAACCGGATCTCTGGGGGCAGCTCGTTCCAGAGGGTGGGGGCTCCAACAGAGAAGGCCCTCCCCCTGGGGGTCGCCAGCCGACACTGTCTGGTTGACATCTATGTCTATCTAGTTATCTATTGCTCTTATCTTTTCTATATCTCTCTCTAAGCTATGTCTATCTATCTATATCTGATCTTTCTGTTATTTATGTCTATCTATATCTCTCTAATCTACCTCTAAAATCTTTCTCTCTAATCTATCATCTATCTCTACCTTTCTAGATGTCTATCTCTATCATCTATTGATCTCTTTTCTCTCTATATATATCTATCATCTGTCTGTCTCTCTATTTCTCTTTCTGTATCTATCTCTAACATCTATCTAGCTATCATCTATTGCTCTTTTCTATGTATCTCTCTATATCTAATTTCTGTCATTTATGTCTATCTCTAAT